AGGTTCAATTCCATATTCTTTAGAAAAGAAACAGTCCTTGAAAAGGACACAGCAGTGATTCTGAGGGTACTCCCAGCATTAGGGAAACTGAGCGGCACGCTGTTGTAAGGCTGTTTCAGTTTTAGATAGACTGACATGTGAAATTAAGAAAAAAGAAGAGAAAAAAGGTAAAAGGAAAACTGATGAAAGGACCAAGAAAGAACTACTTTTCTATTTAAATGTCATCCCAGACAACAAAAGGGGAGTAATATTCTGGGCAATCTTAACCACGTTTACAAAATGTTTAGTTCATAGCAGGTTTCAACTTGGACTTGAACAATTTGTAAATATTTACATACAATTTAAAGATGGGACAGGAATTGATCATACACGGTCACTGACAACACAGGGGCGATTGTCTATCACCCCCAAGGCCTTAGAGCTGCTTTCCCCAACACATCTCCAGCTTTCCCAGAAGCTGTTTAGCTTATTTTCCAAAGAAATGCCAATCTTTGCAACCACCTCTGACCTCTGAACTGCTAGAGCCTCTGATAAGGTCATATGTCACTGGAGCTTCTTCAATACCCAGACAGGGAAGGAAGAGGGACGGGGAGGCAGGTGCAGTCAATGTTTGCTTGACTGCAGATTCTCACAAGCATGTTGCCTCCTGTACTGTCCTAGTACCTGAGCCTCGGGACCACATCCTCTGTGTATGGTAGGATATACACCCCACACCCAGTCACTGACTCAGGGTGCATATACAGAATAGGCAAATACCCTTTAGACAGTCAAGAAAATACATACTGCATCCAGATAGAATTCTTTCCAATATAAAATGAGAACCTTCCTCTTCTGCAGAACAGGCACTATGCGTCCTTCACAGGGTTGCTTTGAGAAGTCAGTAAGATGAGTACACGTAAAGCAGTCAGCGCTGTTTCTGGCACGTGGTGAGCATTCAATAAATCACAGCCATTACTTTAGTGGGTGTTCTTAAATGTCAAATTCTCATGGAGGACCTCAGGCATTAAATAGCCAAGTTTACTCCATCTGGTCAATAACAACTAAGAGGGCAGGTGGTACAGAAGGAATAGATTATTTACCTGCAGGGGATACACGATGTCCATGGTATTAATTATTTGTCCTTATATGCTGTACTCTGTTAAAAAGAAAGCTAATCTTTCAGTGGGACTCAGTGTTGACTCTGAGTTTAGTTTTTCTTGCACCTCTCAATTTTCCCTACAGCTGTAACCATTCATTTGGTGGAGATTCAGAAATCATCTGCTATGTGCCAGGTCTTTAGAAAATAGCTAAGTACAGAAATATTAAACAATACAATGTTTTAGCCCATTCAGTGGTAGAAGATAGGCTGCCAGCCTGCAGGCCAGATCTAGCTCTTAACACAGATTCCTATGCAACATAAAAAAAAAAAAAAAAACCAACAAAAAAAATGGAGCTAATATTTAAAAGTTAGGGATTCTACATAAAAATCCAAATACCTAGCTTCCCTTGGAAAAAAATCAGATGATGTGGCAATGAAATGCCAGTATTTCCACCTCTTCTTGCCTGGCAACAGTTACGAGCAAGATAGTGACCCTCTCTGCCACTCCACGCTATGTTCCGCTCCTCACCAGGACTAGTGCAAAATGAAAACGAAGGGCCCCCTGTTCAAGAATTATTAATTTCAAGACAGCAGCAGAAGATTAAACCGAGTGTGAGGTCCTTCTGAGCAGAGGAGGGGGAAGAGGGCCCTGTGCAGGTCACAGGCGCATGAAGCTGGGCCTGCCCCACAAGCCCTCGGCCAAACAGGAAGGGTATTTATGCCTTAGTATTCTGTCATTCATTCAGCAATCCAGCCAGTATTTACCACAAGCCAGACACTGTACCCACTGCCATCTGAGGTACACAAAGTAGGGCAGTGGAGTCCTGCACGACTGAGCTGGAGAGCCACCAGGATCTCTCTCCTCCCTTGTTAAATCTGGATCCACACCAGAGACACTCCGTAAGAGTTAATCCAAGTAAAATTAAACTGCTCCCAACAATACTGATTGGCCTGAGTTCTTTTGTTGGCGTCCCTGGAGCCTTGATCACAAATTCTGAGGAACAGCTCACAAGTGCTAATGAATAAGTCCCCTTGGCTGTGCAGACAGTGGGCCCAGAAGTGAAGGGCTGGCCTAAGAGAGATTTGAACGTGAACCTGACCATCTGGCTCTCTGTGACTCACTTTGATCACAAAATGAATTGCAACAAATTGAAGAGCACATGGCTAGAGTTAATTGTCTCATCTGTAATCTGAACCTACTCTTAAGCAGTTATTATTACTCTCTACCAGGTGGAAACGTTTCCTACCACCGCTGCAAAGTGCATTTCCTGATGAACTGTAATGGATCATTAAATTCCATATCTGAATAACAATACTTTGCACTTATGCAATGCCTTTCATCCAGGGATTTCAAGGCAGTTTGCAAATAATTAAGCCCTTCACACAGCAGCCAGAGGTGAGTGACTGCAAGGGACTTGCATGAAGACACTGAGTCAAAGGCATAATTCAATAGAAAGAGAATAAATGGCTTCCTCCCAGTCGCTAGTAATCTTGCAAAGTGAAGGGTGCTGGGGAGGGGGGAGGATTTCCTCCCTCCCATTCTGCCTTACCGCTTATTCTCTATGACAGATTCTCATAGGCAACATACAAAGAACAAAAAAGTAACTAACAGGGTTGTTCATAATTTAGCTGAGTTCAGACATCCACACATATGAGAAGAATGTTTTTCCATATAATCCTGGCATATACAATAAGAACTGACATTTCGATCCACCTGCAGAATCGACAGATACCAGAATTAACTCAACACAGTTATGATTACCAAATGGCAAACCTAAAGCCTTCCAAAATCCAAAAGGAAAATATTGCTCTGCACAAATAAAGTATGCTCTAACAAAAGGCCTCTATTCCAAGGCTGTATATTCCATTTATGCGCCCCCGCCCCCACCGTTTGAATAATATTCAAGTTACAGGAATAGTAAATAAGACAGAAGTGGGCAATCAATGCATTTTTTAAACCGGAACATTAGAAGGGAAAAGACTTTTCAGCCACTCTTAAGTTTTAGGGTGGAATAATAAACTCTTGAAAAACTGAATGTATGATGCAAATGCTGACAGACCTTTCACTGGAGCAGTCAGAAGCAACACTGCAATTTAGCAATCTCTCTTACTGAGTAAAGACTAATTCTAACAAGATGTCATTTTGACTCAACGTTTATTACTACCTGAAAGAATGAAGAATGCCATTTACTCGCGAGCTGCCGGAGAGCCAGGGTGGGGCAATCTCACATTTTAAGCAAGACGACCGCTGCTTTACCAAAATAGCCCTCTCTGCTGAAGGAGTGGCAGCCTTTCACGCTCAGTTTCTTTCATGTCAGCCGGAGCCTTCGCAGCTCGACATGCCTTTCCTACACGCTACATTTTAATGATCTGAGGAACCTCTATCGGTGTTAACATCTCTAATTTTACTCTAAACAGAAAAAAGCAAAAGATCTCATTAGGCATCTTCTCCGCCAAGGTTCCCACTAGGCAGGAAAGGATTTTTATCTAAAGTAATTACCCTTTTTAGTTAAATACACTCAACAGATGAAATTTACACAGTGAGAGACTGCAGCCCTAGATACACAGCGAAGGTGAAAACCGAGGTACGCCGCGTGTCGCTACCCGCGCGCCCGCGGGGAGTCTGCGGCTCAGTCGGGGGTAGGGCGGGCGCCCTTGTCCTCTCGTTCCCCAGGGGCCACGGGTCGCGGCGACTGCAGTGACCCGGCAGGCGAGCTACGAGGAGCGCCTTCTCCGGCCACAGACAAAAACCATCCCGACCACGGCTGCTCCAGAACTTCACCCCAAGTTGTCAAACTCGCCTACACGCGAGAGGGTGCTGGGGTTGGCCCCTGCGCCCACGACCCCCGAAGCCAGGGCTGCACCTCTGCCCACTTCCTCCCACGATCCGAGTTCTTGCAAATCCTTGGCCAGACGGAGGTCGCCGAGATGCACACTCGGGTCCCTCTCGCGGGCGGCAGGGGTAGTCCACGAGCGCCGCCCGCCGCGCTCTCCCGGAGCACCCACCGGGTGGGAGGAGAACTGCGAGACCCACGGCGAGCCAGGGCCTGGGGAGCTGGGGGTGTCCCCTGGATAAACTCCTCTCCTTGGTGGCCCTGGAGGGGTTTCAGGAGACTGAGGGGTGGGGAGGGAGAAGAGGGTGTGTGTGAAATGTGTCTGTTACACTTCGATTTCGTGCAGGCTCTCCGGTGCAGAAAGGTGCCAGGTTTTCCTCTCTGAAGGCTTCAGCCCCCCTGTTTGGACTCTCAGAGACGCACTCCGATAACCCGGTCATTGGCCAGTAGGAATACCACCCACCCTGCAGCCCAAGACCCCCACCTGCCTCTTACCGGCACCCTAAACTTGGGCTTTGATGCCCTGCCAGCCGCGGTGGTCCCCACTAGCCGGCGGCGACTGACAGCTGGACGCGAAGGCGCGGCAGACGCGGTACTGGCGGGGCAGCCCCGGGCAGGGACTCGGCGGGCAGGGACTCGGCGGGCAGGGACTCGGCGGCGGGCCTGGCGAGGGGATCGCGGGCCGGGGGCCGGGGCGCCCGGGTCTCGCGGGGCCAGGAGCAGGGCCGCGGGTCTGACAGCTGCTCCGGCTCGCGCGGACGCGCGCCTCCCTCCAGCCCGCTCTCCGCACGCCTGACTTATTACCCTCTGCTCCTCCTCCCCCTGCTGTTCCAAAACACCCGTCGACGCGAGCAAAATACAATGCCGCCTCGCCCGCCGTAAACAGCCGGGCGAGGGAGCGCACGGCCGCCGCAGCGCGCCCGCCGGCTCGGCTCCCGCCCGCTTCCCGCTCCTAGAAAATGCCCTGCAAGCCGGCTGGGCGCTCGGCGGGCGGCCGCGCGCCGCTCCCGCACGCCTCCCCGCCCGCCGCGCGCGCTCGCTTCCCCGGCAAACTTGCCCCACCGCCCCGCCCGGCGCCGCAGGCTCACCTCGCCGGAGAACTTTGCGTCCTTTGCCGCCTCCTCTTCCCCGCGTCTCCCCAGCGTGCAGCCCCTCCCGGCAGCCGGCGCGGTGGGCGGTTCGGGGGTCACCGAAAGCTCGCGGAGAGGACGCGCATCACATGGCAGTTCCTCGCCAGATTCCCGCGTGTGCCGGGGCGGGGGAGGGGAAGGGTCCAAGGCAGGCCGGGGAGAGGGCGAGGGGCCGGCGGCGGCGGGCGGGCAGGCTGGGGGCGCGGGCGGGGGCGGGCGCTCTCGTTGGCAGGGCTGCGGCCGCGGCCCGGGCGTGCGCGGCCGCTGTTGCTGCTCCGGCGGCGGCGGCTCGGCGCTGTTTGCTCCGCGCCGCGCGGCTCGCGCTCTCCCCGGAACGCCCACACTCTCAATCGCTACATTGTTGACATTCGGCGCTGACGTCACCCGCTCCCCATTCACAATAACTTTACGGAGCCGGGCAGCGCACCTCCCGGCCGCTGGGGCGCCGTACGCCTGGCGACTAGCGTAAGGCGCTCCGCGAACGGCGCTCGGAGACGGGGGCGGGGGCGGGCGCGCGCGCTCCGCCGGCTCGCGGGAGGGGGCGCGCCTCTCGCTGCCGCCGCCGCCGCCGCTGCCGCCGCCGCCGCCGGGTTACCCGCTTTGTGCGGCCGCGCGGCCGTGAGAGAGCCCGGCTTCCCGCGCGCCTGGCCGCCTGCCTCGGCTCGGCCTTGCCCCGGACTCGCGGAGGCCTTCGAGGCCCTGGGCCGGGGGCTGGCGGGTGGCGGGTGTGAGATGAGGGTGGTGGGGCACGTGGGGAAGGGGGGGAGCAGTGCCCAGGTCCCTACGTCCAGGAAGGGGAGCCGGCCCTCGAGACCTGGGATACCTGGGCTGCCCGGCGTTTCTCAGGAGGGGCAGGAGAGGATGTTCCACGGGCCCCCACAAAGCAGACCAGAGCCCCCTCTTGGGTGAGGAGGGAGCGACGAGGAGTTCCGGCCCCAAGAGCAATGTTGACATTTGAATCCTTATCAGGAAGGCCTCGGCCTGTCCCACCGAGCGCTCCTCTCCGCCCGCACGCCAGGGTTTTGAAGGGGCGCCAGCGATTGCGTGGTGAATGGAAAGGCTACCCTCAGCCTCCACCCCAGCTCCCACCGGGTTGCGCCTCTCCCCCTGCTCTCTGGAGGCTGCACCAGTGTTGGTGCTGCGCTTCAAGGCCATCGTGTGGCTGCCCTGTCAGGAAAGCTGGGTGGTGGTTAGGATTTTACAGAAAGTAATTAGGACTTAGACTGAAGGAACATTTGCAATAAAAGAAGGTTGTGTTAGTGTAGTGCCGGTGCCTGCAAGTTTACCTCTGCCAAGGCCAAGAAATGCTGCCACGTTTCCCTGAACACCTATAACTTGGCCCCCTTGTGTACAGGCAGTATTCCATATTATTACGTGTGGTGCTGATTTTTAATGAATATTATAAAACTTTGGCTCGCTCTACTGAGAGAAGGGTCATAAATCCCCCCTGTAAAATGGGCACTGGCATATGCTGAGGAAGCAGTGAAGCGTCGCCCTGGGAGTCCTGTGATACCAGCCAAAGTGTTGCTCTGAACCACCTTAGTTTTTTAAAAGCCCCATTTTGAATGTCTGTACAGAAAGCTAAGAGATAGCGGAAAGGGAGCGGATGGACCAAGCTAATCTTTCTAAGAGCATTGCAGAGCCATCTAGGTCTAGAACTACCCTGGGGAGCTTTTCTCTGCTATCCTCCCCAGTTTTCAGATGACGAGAAGTCTCAGAACTCGGAGCAGTCGTCTCCTTGAAGCCCCTTTTGACAAAACGCTCTGCTTTTGAGATCCCTGTCTGGCCCCCGGCAAGGACAGAGAATACTGACCGCCGGTCTGCCCTGGCAGGGCCATTTCTTGTAGTCTGTGGATGGTGATATTTCTGCATTCCTCATTCTTGTGAGTTATCAATGCCTTAACTTTATGCAGTTTAGTAGCATCCAATAAATGGGTATTTTTACCACGAAAGCCAGGTTTGAGAAGATCCCTATGAAAGTGGTGTAAATTCATTTCTTTTCAAGCAGGCCATGGCAGTCCCACCGTGAGTGGAGTTGGGCACATCAGTGTGGAGGGGGTGCAGAGGGACCCTTCTGCTAACTGGTCTTGCCACCTAGCTTCTGGTCCCAGGTGGATACAACAGAGGCTATTCATTAATTCCAGTTAGTCTACTTGCCAAAGACTGAGACTGGAGCTTTCTTAGTTTGAAATTCTCAAGTATGAGATGGGACAGTAACTAGAGATGAAAAAATCAAATGCATCTGTGATAGGTTGTACTATCTAGTCATTCAAGGAGGTTGAATTAGAGCAAGTTGACTTCTAGGTCACATTCAGTACTGTAAGCATGTGCCTCCATGTATGTGAATAAAAAATCTTTGCCTTTGAGGAGCATGAGTCTAGTAGGGAGTTAGTTATTTCATTTTCAATAGTTGAAAGTGCATTCTTTGAATTAAAGCCTGTAAAAATATTCAGAATGACGTGCACTCAGGATGGTAAGCCAAGCACTAGACACTCTTTAACAGGAGTACTGCAGAGGTTAGGCTGGGGGTGGTCTTAGCACCCTTGTAGTGAATGCTTGCTGGCCACCCCCCGGGTTTGTGGTGCTGCTCTGAGCAGTTCAATCACATTGTGAAATAGCTGTACGTCCTTCCCTCTCTGTGTTCATGGCAGTAGCTTGAGTGCAGGTCAATTTATTTCCCATGTCTACAACATTGAAACTTTTCTGATACACTTTTTTTTCCTATATACTTACATGTGTGCACCAATCCAGAAATGGGCTTCATCTGAAATCAAGAAGCTATACTTCTTAAAGTCTTGATTTTATAAAATAAAGCGGGAAAAATTAAATATCTAGGAAACAAAAAGATACGCGAAGGAAGGCAGGAGAAAGAAGTGGGCAGTTCTCAAGTCTGATTTCTTGCTCTCCAGCCTCTATTATAGGATCTGATGGTGTTGAGAAGATATAATGGTTTTTCTTTCACAGAACATAGTCAGAATTTTAAATGTGGTACCTTGAATAAGATACAGCAGGACAAAGTCAGTGTCCAGTGGGAGACAATGGAGTGATATGTTTCGATGGAGAATGCCAAAGCCAGGAGCAGCCAATGTACTGATGGGCATTCTCAGAAAATACTCAGTTCTGCTCATTGGGCAAATTCCTCAGAATTGTGACTACAGTCTGTTATTTCTGAACCAGATGTTTTGAAGTATATCTAAATGGCAAAACCCCCACTCAGTACTGTACAGGTGACACATGGGAGAACTGATGAAATAAGTAATTTCAAATTTGAACAAATCACTTTGATGATTTGTTCAACGATTGTTGAGCCACCTATTTTGTGGTGGGTACTGTTCTACAGGATGGGATATAGAATTCTCATTCTAGTGATGAGACTGAGATGGACAGAGACACAGACAATGAGCCATATGTATGAGTGCATGTGTGTGTGTGTGTGTGTATAATGTCAAGTTGTGTGTTATGCTATCTGGGGGTGAAGAGCGCTATAGAAGCAATAAAGTAGGTAAAGGGCTCAGGAGTGATAGGGGTGGGCCCACATTCTCAGGGATGTTGGGCCAGAGAAGGCATCTCTGATGAGGGGACATTTGAGCGGAGATCTGAATGAAGTGAGGGGGCAAGCTCCTCTGCAGCTGTTCAGATAGAGCAAGTGCAAAGGCCCTGAAGTAGAGTGAATTTGGCATGCTCCAGGGACAGCAAAAAGACCACTGTGTCTGATACAGAAGAGCAGGAAGGAGAGAAGCAGAAAATGATGCCAGAGGGATAGCCAGCAGGCTTATAGTTTAGGGGAAATGGGAAGACAGTTGTGGGGCTTTTTGCAGGGAAAGGACATGACTGGGCCTCGACTTCCAAAAGATCATTCTGTTTGCTAAGTGGAGGGGAAGACAGGAGTAGAAGCACTGAAACCAATTAGGAGGCTATTGAGATACGCCAGGTGAGAGGTGATGGTAATTTGGACTACACTGATAGCAGTAGATGGAATCTAGATATATATTCTAAGTAAACCAGATTGATGATTCTGTTGCGGTGTGTGAGACAAAGAGGAGTCAAAGGAAATTCTGGATTTGTGCCTGAAGAGCTGATTACTGAAGATTTCATTTAGTGATACAGGGATGGCTACAGAAGGAGCAGGTCTGGGGGGACAGCTCAAGTGTTTGGGTTTGGATATGGTAAATTTCAGATGCCTATCAGACATCTAAGTGGAGAAGTTGTGTAGCAATTAAACAACTTGAGTGAAGTTCTCAAGCCAGGTAGGGCCCCTTATCCCTAGCAACAGGAGGGAAGGCAGCTCAGGTGGGGATGTGGCTTCAGGGAGGCTGGAATGTGGCGCCAAATGCAGGGAGTCCTTGTGTGAGTGATTCTGTTTTCTTCCCAGTGGACTGGGAAGCAAGATGAGCTGGTGGTAGAGGAGGGGAAAGTGTGTCGGAGTTGAAGGAGAGAAGAAAAGTGTGGACTAATGCAGGACATGTGACAACTCAGAGGACATCTGAGGGTCACTATGAGGACTTTATGGACATGCCACTGCCAAGAAGTTATTTCTTATTGTACAAGATCTTATATGAGTTTTGAAAAATAAACAGTATATTCCAAATTAGAGAGCATTGTAATCTTCCAGAGTAACTAGGATTGTGCATAAATTTTACATCTAGCCATTGTTAAATTTGGTTGGCAGCCTTTTTTCTTTTTAACTACCCATCCTTATGTTCCCCAAAGATCACCTCGGTTCCTAAGAAGGACTTGGGAAACAGTTCTTAAGAGGAAAGGATGTTCTCATATCACTACCTATACTGACATAGCCAAAGATCTGCTTCTGCAATGAAGAACTGATGCCATTATCTAAAAATTTAAGTGAAATAAAATAAACTAATTCCTCAGAATGCACAGTTGCATATCTATTGAGCTGATGAGAGAGAAAAAATTAGAAAACATTGGATCCTATCCTTAAGGAACTTAAAAAAATCTAGGTGGGTAATCAAAGCTAACATAAAGAAAACAATTGACAAATGCAATGATTTTATACTTAATTACTTTTATTAATATTTTACTCGCTATTTTACATAATATGTAAAATTATTTACATAGAAATTATATTTATTAGAATTTATACTAGTGAAATGAATTAGGAATACAATTTTTTTCATAATATAACAAAAGTGAAATGGAAATCTAAATGCCTTACAACAGAGTATTG